GGACCAGCCACCAGGAAAGCTCTGTGCCTGCAGATGCTGGGCTGATGGGTCACAACTTGTTAGAGTCCCTGCTATTAAGTTTTGAATGCTGACTTTTATCCTGCTACACTACTGAATTTGGTTATTTGATGTACAAGTCTCTTGGAAGAGTTTTTGCAGTTTTTCTTGTAGAGTACCATGTCATTTCGACTAATGATAATTTCACTTCTTCCTTCCTAATCATTATTCCTTTTATTTCCCTCTATTATATAGTTGCTCTGAATAATTTGTCCAGAAATATGTTGAGTAGGAGTTGTGACAGAAAGCATCTTGTCCTGTTTCTCATTTCAAAGAAAGGCCTTCAGTGTTTTGTTTTCTGTTTCTGTTTCTGTTTTTTCTTTTCCATTTAGTAGTATATTGGCTGCTGGTCTACCATAGATGTCTTTTATCAGATTGAGGTAAAGTCCATCTGTTATGATTTTCTATGGAATTTTTAGTCCTGAATGAGTGTTGGACTTTGTCAAAAGTTTTTCTGTGCCCATTGAGATGATCATGTGATTGTTGCCTTTGGCTTTATTGGTCTGGTACATTACTTTTATCTGGTACATTGTTTATCTTGAACCATGCTGCATCCATGGGATGAAACCCAGTTGGTCGTGATCTTTAATCTTCCTGATGATTTACTGCATTTGTTTGCAAGTACTGCTAGAATTTTTGAGGATTTTTGCATCCATATTCATAAGAGAGATTGGCCCATAGTTCTGCTTCTTGCTTGGGTCTTTCTCTGATTTTGGTATCAGATTAATATTTGCCTCTAGAAATGTGTTGAGGAGAACTGCTTCTCTTTCAATTTAATTGAAGAGTGTGGTACAATGGCTCATGTCTATAATATCAACACTCTGGAGGTTGAGGCAGGAGAATCATTGTGATTTTTGAGAGCAGCCTGGGCTACAAATTGAGCTTGAGGCCAGCCTGAACAGCATAGTGAGACCCTATCTCAAGAAGACAAGTAAAATTATTAATTTCATTGACAAGTTTGAGAAGAGTTGCCATTAAACTTTCCTTAAATTTCTTGTATAATTCACCTTAAAATCCAACAGTTGTGGATTTTCTTCATTGATATATATATATATATTTTTTTTTACATTTTCAATTTCATTGACTGATATTGGGTTATTTAGAATTTTTATACCTTTTTCATTCAGCCTTGTTAATTCATATATGTCTAGGAATGATTTCTTCCATATTTTCCATCCTGTGAGAATAAAGAACTAGAATCATAATGATCCTCCTGTCTCATTCTCCAGAATGCTGGGGTTATAGGAATGAGCCGGCACTTCCCACTTGTCAATGAAATTGAAAGGGAAGTCTTTCTCCTTAGCACATTTCTCAAGGCAAATATTAATCTGATACCAAAAACATAGAAAGACCCAACAAAAAAAAGAACTATCGTTAATCTCTCTAAGGTACATAGATGCAAAAATCCTCAACAAAATACTAGGAAATGCTTGTAGCAGGAAGATCATATATCATGACCAAGTGGGTTTCATCCCAAGGACACAGGGTTGGTTCAGTGTAAACAAAGAATTTATAAATAGGTATGGATGATTTTCTGAATTTCTGCAGCATTGTAGTGATTTTTGCCTTTCTCAAAGCTTAGTTCATGAATTTGAATTTTTTCATTTTTTTATAAGGTTGGTAAGGGGGTAATCAATGGAATTTATTCTTTCAAAACACTACCTTTTTCCATCTTATACTATGAATAAGTACTGTGAAGACAAAAATATGCAATGCATTAATTATTGTAACTGTCCTACTAACCCATTTTGAAACTGTCTCATTGTTATTTCTCATTAATATATATGTATATATATATATGTATATAATAGTTATGATAGGTATACAGCTACCTTCTATTAGTTCAATAAAAATAAAATTAAAGTTTGTACTAATATTGTTTAGACAAGATATTAGGTTTGCATTTTTCCTCTGAATAACCACTATGAAGTCAACAATATACAATGTATTAATTATTATAATTGTCCTACTAACCTGTTTTGAAATTATTTCATTGATATTTTATTTTCTCAATAAAATTAGTAAAAAACTACACTTTGAATTCCTCAGTTCTTTTTATTATTTTCTTAGCCTCTGTGGCAGTAAGTTTTGCTCTGATTTTTTATAATTTCCAACTATCTTTGGGCTTAATTGGCTTTTCTTTTTCTAGTCACTTTGGCTGCAGCATAAGATTGTTTAAACTCGTTTATTCTATTTTCCTCATTTGAGTATTTACTGCTATATATTTTCCTCTTAAGATTTCTTTCATTGCATCCTACAGGTTCTGTATCTGCAGTTACTTTGTTACTTTTTAAATAAAATCCATTAGTGTAAATGAAGAAATATATACAACATTGACTTTTCCAATTAAACTTTACTATCTTTTCCTTTTTATTTCGTATGATTGTAACTTTAATAAAATAATCTATTTTCCTTTCATATTATCATAGTTTCTGAATAATTTGTTCTAAATTTTCAATATATAGATAAATGCTACATATGTTTTCCATATTTTAAAAGTGATTTTTTTTTTCTGCCAACTGTTTAGGTTTCAGGCAAAAGAACTGCTTTTTTTTTTTTTTTTTTTTTTTTTTGGCAGAATCGATACTGAACTTAGGCCCTTGTGCTTGCCAGGGATGTGCTCATTCCACTCCCTGGCCCAAAGAACTGCTTTTAACTTTATTTCTTTTCTAGAAACTGTGCTGATCCAAAGACTCTGACTAGAGGTATTTGAAGGAAAAGATGTGGAGACCTGTGCTATCATTAATTATGCTTTCTGAAGTTTAAGTTTTAAAAGTCAACATGCACAACATTTATCTCTTTATCCCATGCTTCATTTATTTTTATGTGTATGGTGTTACAGGCAGCCAAATTAGAAATATTATAGGCAGTCACACAGAGCCAGGCCCTAGAAGGAGATAACACAGAATATAAGATATCTTACAACTGTGGGAGGATGGATGCTCCTGCTGTGAGCCAGACCTAAAGACCAAAGATCAAACAAATGCTTTTCTTCCTAAAGATTAGTAGCACTGGGGATTGATCATCACCCTGAGAAAGCCAGAAAAGTTCATTAAACCAACTTCTATTGAATGGTTACCAGATAAGATCCTGTTCTACATTCATGCTGCCTTGCTATGTGACTCTCTTCCCCATTTGGTCTTGGACTTAATCAATTATACTTGAGCAGTGGTGCTTGTAATCCCATTGGTTGACTATAGTTTTGTCCCACCCCACATCCACCTAAGCGAGTTTCCATTTTTTCCTCCTTAGTCCCAAATGGTTTTACAATACAACAGTCCCTGGAAGAGACAACTTCTGAGGACCACCTACTTAGGAGCCCCCTCTGTCCCTCTCTTAGACAGGAGCTGTCTTTCTCCCAATAAATACATTCTGCTCTTAATCTCCATTTGTTAATTAATTCTTCAGTTTTAGATAACACGAAATCTTCCAGGCCAGGTCAGGAATTTCACTTTCCCTATATCAATGGCATGAGCATAAAGACAAAAGTAATATGATTTTCTGGGTTTCATATTCTTTGTACCCAAGGCATAAATGTTATTAGAAACATCTGACAAGACAAAATAAAACTGCAAATGAGAGTTCTTAACGTCTTATTACAGGAAAGAGGAAATTTAATCTGCTAATCAAGTAGCATCAAACTAAACTTGTATGACCATACCTATCTTTGCCAATCTTCACCACCTATAGAAACAGTTTCTCTTTCTTTCTCCATATTTTTCTCTCTTCTTAGTTAGTACTTGACTTGCCATACATTTAAATAAGAATAGAGAACATTCAAGGTGTCATGTGTAAAAAAAAGCATTTCTCATTCTAACCAAAGATCTAACTAAAGTTACGGATTTTGTTTTTTGGGTTTTTTTTAAGTTGCAGTTTTAATTGGAAATTCTATTAGAACAAAAATTTGAAAAAGAAACAATTCAAAGAAATATATAATATTTTAAAAAGAATGTGTATTGATAATTCATGTGTGGCTCAAAAGACTTGAGTTAAAACTACAATGAGATATGACTAAATCCAATCTGGCCTCTACCTGCATTGTCATAGTTTATATCTTTATGGTAACCCCAGGATCCATGCTACTTCTTTGATCTTTAAAATGTGATTTTTGTCAAACCGCAAAGTTTACATGGTCTAAGACCTCCTTGCCCCCCACTTCTTCTCTCCTCTCCTCTCCTCTCCTCTCCTCTCCTCCACTCCTTGCTTTCCTTTCCATTTCCCTTATACTCTCTGCCTTCTCTTTTTTCCCTTACCACTTTTTTGGTATATACTGTGAACTGAATCTGAAGGCATACATATTTAGACACAGTAACACTGAGTTACATCCTTAGTCCTTTTGTTTATTATTTTGAGACATTATCTCATTTAGTTGTTTAGACTGCAGCTGAGTTTCCTGTGTGAGTGTCTTTCCTCCCCAATTCATGAGGTAACAAGTCTGTACAATCAAAAGAGCTTCATTTTCCTTTTTCATATTTCAATACCTTTTTGTCTTGGTAGAATTTGAATTAAGTTTATATTGAAATGTATCCTCTCTACTAAAGAGTCTAAATGAAATTTACTTGGTAAATTAGTCAAATTTCCTTCTATTTTATTTCACAGAAACAAACATAGCCCATTTGTCTTCATTTTATTCATGGATAATCTTTCAGAAAATACAAAGTAGAACTTCAAGTATCCTGCTTTTCTCAAACAAAAATTGAGGATTCAGTAACTCTTTTTCAAAGAGGTATAATAATACATATACATGACTATCAAAGTACATTTGAGGAATTATGAAATTATAATTGAATGTGATTCAGTATTTCACCAGCAATATAATAGGCAGCAAAGCAGGGAGTAAGTCTTATAAAACATAAATGATAATTTTACTCCTTGTTCTCTGTGGTCAAATTAAATACACTAGCCTCACTTATATGTTTACTACCTATAGGTCTCATGCAACACTAGTCTTTCTTTTTCTTTCCTATCTCTGAAAACTTTTGATAACAAAGCAGAAAACATTTTACAACAAGTATAACAATGGTCAACACACAGGCCAGTAGGAAACCAATCACATCCAAAGAGTGGTACTGATACCAGGTGAGGTTTTGGGCCAGTGGCCGCAGGTGCTTCGCCCCTTTGTGACGCATAACATACTCAATCCAGAAGACTGCTCGGTCCAGGGGCTTCATAGGCTGATCATGGTGAATGGTAGATAACCTCATGACATTCTCTTTATAGCTAAAAATTTAATGAGACATCAATTTATAAAACAAAGGAAAAATATAGGTATACACACTTCTGGAATCAGATTAAATTGAGTACATACAAAAAGTGGAAGTAAGATGATAGTAAACACTCTTTGAACAATAGGATGAAAAATGATATGGAACAACAAATAATTTTAATGTAATAATATGAACATATTCATTTCTGAACTCAAAACAAGAAACAAACAAGACTATATTTTAAGACTTGAATTATGGAATAATCACCTTTTCATGGACACCATTAACAAAGTTACAGTAAGTGTCAGAATCTATGGTAAAAAGACAAGTGTATAGTAAGGTTTAGGTTTATGTCTGGGAAAGGTACTCATGAGTTGGTAATGATCAGAAACTAGCTTTCAAACTTTATGATTGGATTAATGATTAAAATTACAGAAGTAGGTTGCTGCTTCACTTTAATCTGATTTTTTACAATATTTTCTTCTGTGTTTCTTTTCTTTCCTTTTTTTTTTTTTTTTTTGGTGGTATGAGGGATTGAACTAAGGATCTTGCACTTGCCAGGCAAGCATTTATTCCACTGAGCTATCTCCCTGGCCATTCTTGTGTTTTTATAAATATCTCTTTTCTTAATTTTAGTTGTCAAATACAGAGAATTAATATAGTTAATTTCTTCTTCAATTACTGTGAGCAATAATATCCTGATTCTTAGATTAATTTTATTATGTAAACAACTCACCATATGTTTAATATTAATGTATTGATACTGATTTTGTTAGTACTGTGACTTTAGATAATGAGAATTGGTCAACATTTTACACTGAGGAATTGCAGTCCCATGTATTACTGATGTTGAAGTAATGGTACAGGACAGAAGGTACAATAGGGAGCAGGCTTACCAAGTCTAAACCACAATATTCTATAGCGTGACATAGCAGGTGTAACAAAGGAGGTAGCTTCTGTCTTAATAGTAATAATGAGATTATTGTGTTTTAAGAGAGCGCTCAAATCTTGACATATGTTTGCAATATAATAGGCAAATATATAGCTGCAGAATACTTTCGAAGGGCCAGGGAGATAGCTCAGTAGAATAAGCTCTTGCCTGGCAAGCACAGGGCTCTGAGTTTAATTGCCGGTACCACAAAAAAAAAAAAAAGAAGAAAGAAAGAAGAAAGAAAAAAGAAGAAAGAAAGAAAGAAAGAAAGAAAGAAAGAAAGAAAGAAAAGAATACTTCCAAAGAACATATATAATGATATGAAAATATTAGAGAATGAATAATTGTAAAGTATCTTAGACTTTGATTCTATTTTCTTGGTTTATAAAAAGATTCTTAGAAAGTTTTAAGTCAATGGAAATAATAACTTGTTTTACTATATGTTTGTATTTCTATGTGCTACATATATTCCATATATTCATGTTGCATATTTTAAATATACATAGTCTTTTAAAAGAAATATTAGCATGATGATGGAAAGCAACAACTCTGCCAAATAGTAGAATTGTTATATTTATGTTTCTCTGCTTTATTGTTATTCTAATGCTTTCTTACATTCCTTCTGTAATAATGCTCATTCATTTCATTCCATTTACTGGTGCTATGCTTAAACCTTAGTCGCAATTTCCCATAAAATTATGAAAAATTTTATGAAGATGGTCACAATTAGAAATGAACAATCTTTATTAGGCACTAAATAAATTTCTACTCATGAATAAGTTCATATTTATATTCATTGTGACCCTTTGTGCTTCATTCAGAATTTACATGAAATTCTATGAATGAGCATGTAATTATATATAATATAATGTAATATCTATGTAATTATAGAATACTCACGAAGGGTTGTTAATGATGGTGCTCAGTGCATTGACCAAATCTGTGGTGGACATTGTTGTGAAATCCAACACAACAGCTGCTCCTTTGGCTTTCATGTGAGCTATGTTATCATGTTGTTCTGCAAACAGTGGAATCCCCACCATGGGGACTGCATGGTTGATGGCATCATAAATACCGTTGGCTCCTCCATGAGTTACAAAAGCTTTGGTTTTAGGATGACCTGGAATTAGGAGCATTTCAATCACATTATTAGTTGTGAATATCATACAAAATATGAGAAATGCATAACATGAAGTGATTAAAGCAAATTGTCTTAGGTACATATTTTCTAACTTACTAATCTGAATTAAGTTGCCTTTCCATCTAAAAACCAAAAACACCTGAAGGAACATTGATTGTATAGGAAGGTTGGATGGCAGAGATATTGTGCATATTGAGAGATGACCAATGAATATGTGATTGCTACGTGCAGAAGAAGAGGGCACAAAAGATAAAAGAATCCAAGTAACAAAGAAAAACCATGAGCATGTTAGAACCTGTCTTCTAAAAAATATAGTTATTCCTCTCAGTCTAAAGTGAAGATTGCTCAGAGCACAAAGGAGAGAAAGTAAAATTAGATAAAAAGTGTTATTATTTCATAACAAAAACTATGAAATGTTTTTCTCTTAGAAAATTAGGTTAGTAGTATAACAACTGTTGTTGAATTCCTATCATTTTGTTTAGTGAAATTCTGTCATTTCTAATTTTTAACACACTTTTTCTCATTTCAATTAAAAAATAATGATAGAAGAAAAGAAAATATAGTACTGCATAATTACACAAGGGAGATATTTCTAAATGGTATTGGAATATCCCTATTTTAGGGGAAAACACCATCTTATATATTGAAGTAGGTGTTAGAGAAATAACCTAGTTATTTATTATGAAGAATCAAAGAAAATTAACTATCTTTAAGGATATTTTAATTTCTGACCAAAACGATTTTGCCTCTGTTATATTTGTCTTCATATTAGAAAGTAGACCAAAGAAGATTGGCTGTATTTACTTTTTCTTAACTTTTAATTTTTTATTTAAGAAAACACAAAATAAACAAGAAAGATAAAAGAACATAAAACCCTAAAAAGGTACATAATTTCAAAACAAAAATAGGAATGTAACAATGGTTATTATATTATGTATATTATGTATTGCTATCATCAAATTTGTTGCTCAGATTCCCAGATATAGGCATGCAAGCTTTATCAAATATTTAAACATTAAGTCTTCCTTTCAATGAACTTTAAGTTTTTTGCTTGTTCTTTTTATTTCTAAATTTATTTTAAAGAAACTATAAAACATAATAGATAAGGTATTAGAGATGATAAACATATTAAACACAAGAAGAAAGATACTGGATGTTATTTTGTTCATTGCTGGATTTATTTTTTGAATATGTTAATAATAAATGTGTAGATATATAGGTTTCCTTTTTATTGACCTGTCATCAAATGAATGAACTCTTTTAGGGTTTTCAGTATTTGGTCTCTAGCATCTTACCAAGAAGATCATTTTGGGGAATCCACTCATAGAGTCGAATATTGGGTGATAAGTTATCTGGTTTCTTGCTATTAAATCTCCAAATAACCTATTACATAAAAACACATTTTACTTGGCTTGCCAAACTTGAACTTATTGTAAAAATAAATGTTAAGAAGTTCAGGTATCATTAAGTCAAATGTGTTCTATACATTCGGTAAGGAATAAGATCAAAAAAGCTTAAGTAATTTGAAAATGCAAAGATAAATCTAATTTAGATTTTTTCAATACATAGTTTTATATTTCATAGATAAAAGCAATCTTGATTTTTTAATACACTGACTAAAAACAAATGACATAAATGGTAATAATTATACCATATAAATAAATGGTATAATCAAGTTTAATAAATTGCTATTTGTATCTCATTCTACCATAGAGAAAAATAATAAATTGTTAAAGATAAAAACCTTTATATAGAATGCAGCTTCCAAATTTAAAATTACATTTGTATTTTTTTTTTTTTTTGGCAGAACCAGAGATTGAATTCATATATTTGCATTTGATTCTACTAGCGATAGCATATTTACTTATTCTATAGGTTATTTTATTACAGTTTGTTCTTTCTACACTTAAAAATAAATATCCTTAATCAGTTCTTAGAAAGGAATCACTAAAGAATTAGTTACAGAAAACTTGCTTTAATTACATAAAAGGAAGTATTTCTTCTGGGAAACTTTCAATTTCACTCTCAAGATGAACCCACTGTGCCTCCATTAGTGGTAGGCAGGGGAGTTATATGTGGATGTTTAAAAAAATATGAAAAATGGGAATCCCTATATTTCTTTCAAATGTTTCTTTTGCCAAAATGGACCATGATGCTCTTTCACAACAGAGAAAATATGATTTTCAGACACAAGCCCTTTCCATGCCTAATCCCATGGGAGTATAATATTTAGAAATTTCAAAGTCATACACATGTAATGAAATACTATTTGTAAATGCTTTCTTCCTAACTGTGATGATGCGAGGAGTAACTTCTGATTCTCAGCTTAACAAGTAACACACTAATAACACAAAACATATGCTCGATACAAGAGTAGTTCATAAATATCTAACAACTAATTTGTATTCTATATAACAGAAAATTAGTATCTACAATATTTTCTGTAGAGGTAGGGAACCTCTTCCTTTTTCTTGATTCTGCTTGAAACTTTATTACTTTTTCCTGTTCTTCCTATATTCTTTGCATGGTTGAATTTGTTTGGAAACAAGTAGTATCTCTGTAAGACACATGGCATTTATTCACTGTGTTCACTGGAAGAGCATCACCACACCATCTGTTGCTTCTTCCTGTTTCAGATGTTAACAGGCTCCAAATCATGAGGCTCAGCACCCCTATTTAGATCTGGACAGTGCTTTTCCTGAGCATTGATATACTCTGGCCGCCTTTCTCAGAAGAGTCACCTGAACAGACCACTGCAAAGCCCAATGCCAAAATTACAATAAGTTGTGAGGCAAGGATTCCTTGTGAATCATACAGGGTATGATGAAACTCCCCCTCTTTCCAACACATGCATATTGCCATATGCTAGTGATTTTAGTAATTTAGATTTCATCTCTTTCTGAAATAACTTTAATTTGCTCTGTGCCCTTAGCAATTCCACAAGAAAATGAGTTTGTAGAGAATTTTGCTACATATGAATTCCTACAAATAATATCATAGTAACAAAATGTCACCCATGTAACCTGCTAAATGTATTTCTTTCTGATTTGAATTTTGACATCAAAATCATTATGAAGAAAGCCTTCCCCTTTTATTAGCATTCCTACTTATATAGCTTGGTTCAAAACTGTGCAAGATAAATTAGAGATATAAAAATAATGCTCATATAGATAATTCTGCAATTGGACCCAGCTTAGAAGTTAACAACTTAATTATGCACTTGTCTAGTACTGAGGTGCATTTTCTAACCTTTTGTGGAAACTGTGCAAGAGCTGAAGCAATCACATTGGTCCTTTCTTCTGTCATGTTGTAGACCATGGAGCCGAGAGAAAACACCACAATACCATGCTCTCCAGAGCTCTGCACAAAGTCTTCCATTTCCTGTGAAGAAAGAGTATTGTACATCAGAAAGTCTGAATGGCACAGCACACACCTTTGAAACATTAGACAAAGAGTGAGAGAAGTCACATCTTGTCAAGTATCATTGGAAAAGTGGCAGAGGTTAAGAAGCCAATGGTTTTCATTTAACGGTATTACACTTTTCAATTTTTACTTCTTTTAAGTACTTACACTAGGGAAACAATATGATATTTACACATGTGAGTCTGTTTTATTTCACTTATGAGTACATCTTCAAGTTGCATCCACTTATGTACGAAGGTTTCGAGTTTATTTTTCTTTATAACAGAGTAATACTTCATTGTATAAAAACAACATTTTTAGTTATATAAGTCTTGTTTTAACTTGGTCTTAACCATCCAGCAGAAAAGTATAACCGTGAGGTGTAAAAATTAATGCCATATTAATATGTTGAGCTGTAAAAGTCTCAAGTCAACAACTTCTGATAATTCCAGTTTTGCTGATAACCCGCTACTATTATGTACTATTGGACTATACTGGGTTATTTTGCTGAATTCAAGTACCTACAATATTTGAACTAGGGGGGCAGTGAGATGGCTCAGTGGAATAAGTGCTTCCCTGTCAAGAATAATGGTCTGAGTTCAACACCTGGTTCCACCAAAAAAAAAAAAAAATGAACTAACATCAAGTATAAAAAGGTCCTTTAAACACGTCTCCAAACACAGTTTCTCTAACAGCAATGGAACACCCATCTCTGATAAAACAAAACAATAAAAGGGGATATAAATGAAGGACCATTCTTCAGTGAAAAAAATATATATGTATAAACAAAATAGAATAAATATACAGCTACTTTCTCCTAGTTCAATGTGAAGAAAGCTTTGTACTAATATTGTTTAGACAAGATATCATTTCTGCATCTTGTCCTCTGATCAACTAATATGAAGACAACAACATACAATGTATTAATTATTGTAACTACTCTACTAACCTGTTTTGAAGCTGTTTCATTGCTATTTTTTTCTCATTAAAATTAATTTAAAAATTTTAAAAAACCCCTCAAAAAAAACAAAAAAAAAATTTAAGTCAATGGTTTCCACCTTAATCTTTTCCAACCATCCAATTGTCAATATTTTGCAAAGTACATCCAAAATGTATTCTCTTTGCAAAGTAAAAGAAATGTAGTTTATTTTCTAAATTTTTAAACAACTCTACTAAATTACTGTGTCTTTTGCATCCTGCAGGAAATATTTGATATTTCTTACCAAATTTTTTATATAACTGCTTTAGTGTTAATGAACATTCTTTAGCTAGACATGAAGTTTGCTATATGCTTTTGCTATTATTGCAACATTTCTATTAATTTTGGCATAGTTCAGTTTCATTATTTTTATCTAAATAATTTTGGGTAACTACATTTTTAAGTTCCATCAAATTATTCAAAACCTTTAAGTTTTAACCAAGGAAAACTTTATCTTAACATTTGATGATAAAAATTATATCTTTTAGTAGGAAGTCAAATTGTTTTTTAAGACAACAATTGTTTTATAATACTTGATTTGGATGCCAATCTCCTATGCACAGCTTATTTACCATTGGTATCAGTACTAAATGATTCCAATAGAATTATTTTATTTTCCTTCATATTTTTCAATTATGCTTTACCCATTTTGGCTAACCTAGTTTTCTTTTGTAGACAGGAATTCTTTCCTATATAAGCATATACTCTATTGGACTTTCAATAATATTTCCTCAACCTTAGGATTCAGAAAAATAACACTAAAGAATCTAAACAATTTGAATTCAAAATATGCATTAGATTTAATGACTTAGCAAGGTAATTTTTTTTTTTTTGCAAGTTAAATTTTTGCTGCTAGCATGAAGAAAGAAAAAAGATAAATTTTTGCAGTTGACATGTAATTACTGCATATGGAATTATTTTCCTTTAGTATATGATAACTGACTTGAATTCTTAACTCATTTTGTTCTTTTGTTCCTCTATAAGTTATACTATCCTAAATATGAGCTTATTTCCATTATAATTCAAATATCAGGGCTGTATCTGAGATGAGTAGTCTGGTCTCCTAAGAAACTTTAATGCAGTGCCCAGTAAGCTTGATAGAACCAGGAAACACCTATATAAATAGAGGAATTCAAGTCTTCTGTACTCAGAAGTATAAAACTGAAATTTCAATTGTGTAATAATAAATGGTGGGATGAAAACAAGTAAAGACTGGGTTTGGTTGTAGGTATTGTTAAAGATTCAGATGTAGATTATTTAGAAATGAAATATATTTCAACGTGCGAAGCTTGTTTTAGTTCAAAAACATTTAATTTTAAAGAGTAAAATCAAAAGAAAAACAAACACTAGAAGCAAAGACAGAAAAGACAGAAACAGAGTAACACAATATACATGTTACTGATTTTCTTTTCTCTTTTATTTATTTATTTTATTTATTTATTTATTTATTTATTTATTATTATTATTTTTTTGGTGGAACTGGGGATTGAGTTTAGGCACTTGCACTTGCCTGGCAAGTGCTTTGTCTTAGTTACTCTTCTCTCACTGATGGGACAAATATCCAACCCCAAATTGAAGGAAGGAAAAGTTTATTTAGCTCAGTTACTGGAGCTTTCACTGCATATTTAGCTGGCTTCAAGGCAGAGCAGCACCAACAGAAAGCAACAATTCATGGCAGCAGCAAAGAGAAAGAGAACAAGGGAGGGGTAGCAGGCAGCAGCTCAAACAACAAGCTTCTCTTCCCACCTTCCATTATTATGCAAATTAATTGCCCCAGGGCAGGTGCAGCAACCACACCAACAATAATCAAGCTCCAGAAGCTGCCCCATGACTGCATGAGACTTTGGGGGGGGGGGAGGGACACCTACACAAAACATAACACGCTTATTCTACTGAGCTATCTCCCTGTCCCCCCCCCCGATTTTCAAAAAAAGAATAAAATTTTAACACTTCATTTGCATTTTTTTTTTTTTTAGTTTTTAAAGAATACAAAGTAGTAATGAAAAACAGCATTAGAAATGATATAAAATTTCACTAAACATAGGGCCAGCCAGATAGCTCAGCAGACTACAGCACCTGCTTAGGCAAAGCACAGAGGCTGGTGTTTCAATCCCATGCTGGCCGCCCCCTTGGCACATTGAGATGGTGATTGAGGCAGTGCATGATGCCGCATGCCTGTAATCCCAGCACTTGGGAGACTGATCAGGAGGGTCACCTGGAGTCTGATCTACACAGTGAGACCGTGTAGACCCTGTACTAAATACATTTTTTTAAAAATTAATTAAAAAAAAAAAAACTTTCACAAAACAAAGAGATAGGAATTCAGTTTTTCAGGTTACCACATAACACATGCAAAATTTGTTTAATAAAAAACTGTAATAGAGAACGTGAGGGTGACTGGGCGGCGCGGCGCTAGTGCGCAGTGGGGTGCAGCTCTGGCACTGTAGTCTCCTTTCAGCACTGAAGCCGCTGACTGTAGCAGGTAGCCCAACCCGGAGGACATGCTGAAGAAAGAATGAGCCAAAGGGACTTGCTGGTGCATCTGTTTGCTGGGTGATGTGGTGGCACAGTAGGAGCTATTGTGACATCTCCATTGGAAATTGTGAAAACACGGTTGCAGCCGTCTTCTGTGACATTTTTATATCTCTGAAGTTCAGCTAAACATCATGGCTAGTGTTAACCGAGTAATGTCTTCTGGACCCCTCCATTGCCTAAAGGTGATCTTGGAAAAAGAAGGGCCTTGTTCCTTGTTCAGAGGATTAAGCCCCAATATAGTGGGGGTGGCCCCTTCCAGTGTACTATACTTTGCTGTTTACTCTAATTGCAAGGAAAAACTGAATGGTGCATTTGATCCTGATTCCACCCAGTTTCACATGATTTCAGCTGCAATGCCAAGTCACTTCCTGTAGAAATATGGACTAACTTTAAGCCTCATTTTACTGCATTCACTGCAACTGACACCATTTGGCTTATAAAACTCAGTTACAGCTTGATGCAGGAACCATGGGGAAAAACAAATGGGTGCTTTTTAAATGTGTCTCTTAAATGTATCTGGCAAATGGACTTAAAGGATTTTACAAGGGCATGTCTGCATCCTATGCTGGGATATCAGAGACTGTTACCCATTTAGTTATTTATGAATGCATAAAGCAAAAATTACTGGACTTTAAGACTGTGTCGATGATGAAAAGTGCTGAAGAGTCTGTGAAAAGCATCAGATTTTGTGGGAAAGATGCTTGATGCTGTCCCCTCAAAATCTTGTGCCGCAACTATAGCATATCCACATGAAGTTGTAAGAACAAGATTACATGAGGAAAAAACAAAATATAGATCCTTTTTTCAGATACTGTCTTTGGTGGTTCAAGATGAAGCTTATGGGTCATTCCACCATGCTCTAACAATTCACTTGGTGAGATAGATTCCAAACACAGCTATTGTGTTGGTCACCTATGAATTGGTGGTCTACCTTCTCAATGGACAGTAGCACAGGCTGCCACACTGCAAAGGAGGGAAGACCAAAAGATTACAGTGAATCATGGAATGTTGGAGCCAGCATGGTGGGCAGAAGGAATAGTAGTTTGGGAACATGTACCACACTGCCTAAATGGAAGTTTGGTTAACATAGCTACACCATATTACTTAGTCTTTCTATAATGTGGAAAAACCCTCAGCCTAACAAAGGAAATGCCTTTGTTAAAAGTTGCCATTTTCTCTACCAGGTCAACCAGATACAGTTGTGTCTATGTACCTACGACATTCAGATACAGTGTTTATTCCAAGAGCATTTTTACAATCTTCTAAACAAAGTAATCCTTAAATATATACTGTAGCCACCCAAGTATAGTATTGACATAAATATAGAACTTATGACTTTGAATTCTTATAATATTGTAAAATAATAATAATTGGTAGATCCTCAGTATTCTCATTTTGCTGAGATGATTCGGCATAATATTTTAATTCAATTATTTGGCACCAATAATCACTATTTTTGACAACCAAGGAAGGAACTGTAATATAAATTATTATGTCTATTAAAATGTTTTAGCCTCTTTAGCTAATAAGTGCTTGATGTTTAGCATGATGTGGACTTTAAATTGTTACCATATAAAACTCACATAATACTTTGCAGAATATAACATTAACAAATAGAATATTGTCTCTTGACCATGTCAGTGATTTAAACATGTCTTTCTATCTTCTCTAATGTTATGGAAAACAAATGAATTCATTTTTGTCATTTCAGAATTTACTAGATTTGAACATGAATTATCACCTCTCATACCTAGGTATCATTTACTTAAATTATAAAAATTTACTGCTTCTCATATTTGTTTGCTTCAAATTAAGAAATTGGACCTGAATTTATTTCTAGGTCAGTATCCATTATACTTCTTTGGTAGAAAGAATGATAATTTTCACATTGACCCTTACAAGTTTTTAAATACAGTGTTAATATCTGGAATAGAGTATATATTACAGAAGAGGGATTCTCTGCTGTCTGATTCAGTAGGCATTATTCTTAATTGATTTGTAAATTAATATGCTTATATTGACCAAGAAATTAATTCTGACCTAGTTTCCCTGAGTGGTATATCATAGAAAGACTCAGTTTCATTTGAGTTAAATGTGCTAATAGGATATTATTTTTCAATTTTACTGTTGAGTCATCTGTACCTTTTAATACTTTCACTCTGTCGTATGCATGGCTTATGCCTATGGGAATTGCTGTCCTGATTTGTGAGATTTTGACAATTCAACTCCAGTGTGGTATTCATTTAAGTGTACCTTAACTTCACATTTTGTGCCATGACTTCATGACTGACTTTTTTTTGGATGCACTTTGTGGTTTTTTTGAGGATAAGAGATTTAGGAGAGAATTCCATGTTAATAAGACTTTTAAAGTATGGTTCATTTGGTAGGCATAACAGTGTGTTTATAACATTTTTCAGGGTTCTGGTTTTGGATGTGTTTTGAAGATCTTAAAATGTGTTAAGTATTCTTGTATATTGTAGTGCCACAACATCATGGAAAAGCAGTTTAAATTTCCAAAGAAAAATTGAAAAGCATTACAAGTTTTTCTCTGCTATCATCAGTAAACAATTACCCTCTGACATTTCTCCCACCTTGATATTATTGTAATCAACAATAACTAGATGTTTTTGAGGTGTTCAATTGGAATTTAAAATATCCTAATCTATTCTGAGACCAAAGGCAAATTGAATCATTACCTTTGGAATGACTATTAGTATACTTTATGATAAATTTTAGCTTTGAGTCTGTGAGAACATATTAAAAAAAAAAAAACCCTCCCAAAATGGGTTTCTAACTTCAGTCTGTAAAGAAGGCTTCAATCTGTAATGTTGGCCTTTTCAGGTGCCATTTATACTGCTTACTGTAGTGTCATCTGCCTTGTGAAGATCCATAAATATTGTGTTGAATGTAGGATGCACTCTCCTTGATCTGACTGATCTCAGTGTCCCACAGATGATGAAGCATGCAATAGAAACCACCAGCTAAGAAACATCTTACTTAGTTTTAACAAATTCATGGCAAGTGTCCTGTCTATATTTAGCAAGTAAAACTTAACACTGACTTTTAGTGTATTGCATTCAGTTTCTTTAAAGAGTGATGTGTGTAATGAAAGGAAACAGGACTTGAGAGTTTCAGATGCTATTTGTGCAAGAAGCACAAAGGAACAATGAAGTCTATTTGTTTTCCCTCCTGAACACAATCTGCCATAGTTTACAAATGATGGAAACAATTCAAAAAGGAAAACTACATGGAGATCACATATAGAATTTGCCTTTCAAGTTTTTTTTTTTTTTTTTTTTTTTTGGCAGAACTGGGGATTGAACTCAGGCCCTTTGGCTTGTCAGACAAACGCTTATTCTACTAAGCCATCTCCCCAGCCCCTTTCAAGTGTTTTTTGAAGATATTTTTAAAATTGAGTCTTAGAGGAAAATGCATATTCAAAACTATTGGACTTTTTAAAAACTATAGGTTGCGTACACTTGTTTGCTATCAGATAACTTAAAATTTTCTGATACAGAGGTAGTCATACTCTGGATTGGTGTGTATTTCTATGATAGATTGCTCAGAAAATTGAACTGAACTCACTCAAGTTCAAGCAGTAGATACTGAAAGCACATTCTCAAAATATCTTCATAGCAGGTCAAACTTTTCTGCCCATAACCATCAGAAATGGTTCCAGATGTGAGGATTGCCAACCTTGTGATTGTGCTATACACTACACAGTGCTTTTAATTCCAGAGGAAACTACCACTAAACCTCTCTCTCTCTGTCTTTTTGTGTGTGTGTGTGTGTGTGTGTGTGTGTGTGTGTGCGGAACCGGGAATTTAACTCAGGCCCTTGTGCTTGCCAGGGAAGCGCTTATTCCACTGAACCATCTCCCTGGCCTAAACCTCTCTTATCATTGTCTAACTTTGTAGATCCAACTTACTCGATGATGTTCAAATGGATTTGTAATTCTGAAACCATGAAAAACCCTCCTCTTTCCTAAAATCTAATACCCACTGTGAATGTTACGAACATCAGAGTTTGACTTTTTCAAAGTAATGTATGTTTAGTCTTTCACTCAAGCATAAATATTTGGCATTTCTAGATGTGTTTTAATTCACAGAGAAAAGTATTGATTTGCATTTGAAGAAGTTCTAGAAATCAGTCCATCGCTTCCTCTTCTAGACTTCTTCATGCCTGATGCCTTTTGTTATTTACATGCTTTTTTGCCCAAACTTAATATTCTAGTGACCCCTTTGGGGCTGATAAGTAAGAGCCAGCCTTTTCTCTTGTAGCATTTATCATAACTTTAACATTTCCAATAGTTTACATAATTCTTAATGATTTAAATTGAAAGAGAAAATAGAGAAAAATAATAAAAAAAGAAATCGAAAGAAAGGTTAAATACATAAAATAAAACATGCTTTCTGTCCATTCAGAGCTCTTCGTCATGTGCTTATTTTTCCCATCAATCTGTACACTGATTTTTTTTGTTACTCTTAAAACCTGAAAATTCTAGTTCCTTTTTTATGTTAATAAACTTTTTGAATGTGTACTCCAGTGTATGTGAACAATTATGACATGTAAGTTATACTAGCTTTTACTTGAATTGTTAAAATTCAAAAAATTAAAATAAGCTTATAAAAATAATGCCTAATTTTTTTCCTTTTTTTCTTCGCATTTTATTTCCTTTCTAATTTCAGGTTTTAACATTTCATCATCTTCTTAATACCTAAATTCATGAGTTTTCTACTTTGCTTCTAACATTTTTAAAAAATATTAGCACAGGGGGCTGGTGAGATGGCTCAGTGGTCTAAAGCACCTACTTAGAACAAGCTTAGCAAAGCACAGGGACCACAGTTCAATCCCCCAGCACCACATGCCAGCCAGCCCCGCCCCCTGGTGGGCTGAGCAGGCCACGCACACACACACACACACACACACACACACACACATACACACACTCACACACACAAATAAATAAATAAATTTAAAAAAAATATTAGCGCATATTACTTAAATAAGTTAAAATGTTTTCGGTGGTGATAGTTGGATGTATTCATTTAATTTTAGGAAAACTACAGGTTCCTTAGTCTCTATGATTTTGCTTGAGGATAAAATTTAATACTGGATGCCAGTTCCTATCAGATAAGGTGCAAGTCAACTCTGGCACATTTTAGATAATTAATAGAACTAATAAGAATATAATTAGCAATACCATCAATAGTGAACATTTATTCTAGATCATTAATTAAATACCAAAATGTGTCAAAAGGTTCACAGGTTTTACCTGTTGTTCCCTCAATTCATTATGTGGTGCTGGCCATGGTACATGAGCTGGTATAGCCATCTGTTTGAAAGCCTTAGTCTAAGTATCATTACCTTTTACTTGAAGTCTTATAATTTCCTAGATAACTCCCCTTTCCCTGGTCTTTCTGATATATAACCAAAACCAGTAACTGAAATTTTAAAAAAACCTTCCTTTTCTTTCTGTTTTAAGTAATTCTAATTTAAGTTGCCTGACCTTAATTGTTATTTGACCATCTAATACCTGTTTTAGATACATTTAATTTGTATTATCTAGTTACAAATTTTTTGTACACATAGTCAGCCTCCTCTTTTAGTTTGACATTGAAATATTGAAGCATATCTATAGCTATTCATCTATCTATCTATATTTCTTTTTGAAATATGGGTATTTATGATAAAAAAGAAACATAAGTTTCTCCTGAGTGATAGTTTATGTCACCACCCACATCTCTCTCATTTTGAGCAAGAACTCTGACTAATGAACATTTATTATTCTTGAAAATCAAAAGCCAAAGATCAAATGAAATGAGAGATATTCTTACCTCAGGCAAAGGTTTAGCAGGTTTGCAGTGAAGTCCACCAACGAAATCCGTATTTGGCAAGGTTGGTCGAGGAAATTCCAAATCCCAGTAGGATCTAATGAGCCACATTTCTGCTTTTGATATTTCCTTATATAATGTTGTGGGTCTCCCTAAATGAAGAAAAAAAATCAAGTAAACAAAAATGAAGGGGAATGGCCAAATAGCTCAATGGATTAAAGTGCCTGCAAGCAGGCTTAAGGGCCAGAGTTTCCATTCTGGGTTCCTTGGGCCAGCCCTGCCCCAGGGGCATGCTGAGTCAGCAATTGAGACTGGGCGTGGCCAGCCTCTTGGGAGACCCTAAACACCCTATAAACCTTTCCCTAAAATTAAAATAAATAAATAAATAAAATAAGTGAGATATACACAAAGTGTAAAACAGAGAAAGCGACAGAGTAAAAAAGGATTAAAAAAAAAGCAGAAGAAAAGCATGTGAGGAGAGAAAGAAAGAAAGAAAAAGAAAGAAAGAAAGAAGGAAAGAGAACAGGATAAGAAGCACAATATAAAGAGCAAGTTGTCACATTAATGTGCCCTGTATTTTGAAAGACGTTGAGCTATTTTAATCAAAAGTAGAACTACCAATGTATAAGCATCTCTACCATGACAGAAAATATATTTTAATTATGCCTAATATAAACCATGTACATGTGTTTTTTATTTATGATAATTGTGTGTGTGTGTGTGTGTGTGTCTATGTCTGTGAAAGACGTATGGCGGTACTGCATTTCTGACATGACTTCAGTATATTCCTAATCACAGTCATTAAAATAAGGCCTTATTAATTTAATCATGAATTAATTTGCCTTATAAAATTATAAAAATAATAGATACAAAAAGTTTAGCTCCATCATTGAATAATTCTATAATAATAATAGAAACATGTTACACAGGATGTCACAATCTACTTTTTGTAATTTAGAAATTTGATTCCTGGTGTTCTAAGGGAACTGTTAATTTTTAAAACAGTGGTTGACACATTGTATCAACTGCTATATTTGTTCTCTCTAAGTCCTTCAGCATCTATTATATAAAGATATTTGTATGTACCAAGAAAACATTCAGAAATTGTGAAATTAGAGATGTATGTTCATCACAGCTTTGACTCTTATTTTTAATGAATAAAAATACCTTAAAAATGTAAACAAAATATATGTATGTCTCCCTTGTAATAGAACATCTATCTCTGACAAAACAAAACAAAAAAGGACGATATAAATAAAGGTCCGTTTTGTTGTGAAAAAAGATATATATATATATATATATATATATATATATATATATATATATATATATATATATATATATATGTGTGTGTGTGTGTGTACACAAGATAGGATAGATATACAGGTTTCTCTTAATTCATGGAGAAGAAATGTTTATACTAATATTGTTTAGGCAAGATATCATGTCTGCATCTTGTACTCTGAATAACTATTACAAAGACAACAACATGTAATGTATTAATTATTGTGACTGTCCGACAAAACTGTTTTGAAGCTGTTTCTTTGCTATTTTATCTCATTAAAATGAATTTTTAAAAAGTCAGGAAACTAAAAAACATAATTGAGTCATGCTTAATGAAGAAATGAGAAATCATTTGTGATAGAGTACTGTATCTTCCAGTTGGGAAAGAAAAGTTCAGGTTACATGGAAATTATCTTTGTTCTACATAAGAAAATTGAAGGGGGGTGTTGAGATAGCTCAGTAGAATAAGTGCTTGCCTGGCAAGCACAAGGTCCTGAGTTCAATCTCCTGTACCGCAAATAAATGAATGAATGAATGAACAAATGAATAAATAAATAACAAAATCAATCTGTTGAAGGAAGAAATTTTCAGTGATGAGAAGATAGTTGTGCTACCTCTTAGTTTATAAGCCTTCATCCCAAATAAAGGTGAGTATCTAATGTTATATGTCCAGTCTTATGTATCTATATCTGTTAATCTGAGCAACAAATTTGACAATAAAAATAGATAATAAATCAAGCATTGTAAATCAGCTATTCTTGTTTTGAAAATCTGTAACATATATATTGTATGTTATCCTGTTATTGATCTTTGTCATTGTTTCTGATCTGTGTTCCTGCTTTTGTTTTTATTCTTCAAAGTAAAATAAAATAATACTACTAATAATAAAAAGACCAAGTGTTATACTTTCTAGGTATATAACCTAAAGTGTGGGGACTTCTTTTTTTGTAACAGTATGAATAATTTTTTTAAAGAATATGAAATGGTAAAAAAAATAACTTTAGAAAAGATGCAAAATTTCATTAAACAAAGTAATAGAAATTTGACAAAAGTTGTTTCACTGCATAATGCTATCTACAAACTAGTTGTTTAGGCTACCAAGATATAGACCTACAGTTTGTGGAAAGAAGTTATAAGAAATTAATAATAATAAAAAAGAAAGCAAAAACAATTAAGCATTGATTGCTCCTTTCAATAGAGCAGTAGAAATCAGCAGTATAGTTACCCAAAATCTCATGCATATATGCATGAATAATTTTTTCCTGGAAGAATTTTTGAAAGCAAAATTTTTCTCTCCAAGGCAAGCAAAATTGGACTCAGAAAGTGGGAAGCTTGGAAATTGTACTCTTCAAGGGTGTTTTACTGAGCAAAGCCATGAGGTGAGGCGATTTAAGTTGGGACAGAACTATAACTGGTGAATAAAAGAACAAGTACAGTCTCTCAAATAATACTGAACAAATGTGAATCAAATGGGGTTGCAAGTCACAGAGCAAACATACATGAGCTGGACAATTTTTCCAGGGAAAGGGTGGGCTATTCAGGGTTTGATCCTCCACTCAAGGTGATTTATGTCTACTCAGAATATCAACCATTGCTGTTCCTCCTTAGAGGAAGAAATGGGTGATCCTCAGCTCCTCTTTTCTTGAAACCTGTTGTGACTTCTAACTCATCTTACTATGAAGATTTTCAACAGCAGTTGGGAGACGGAACTGTTTATACCTAATTTCCTCATTTGAGCTATAAAAGATACATCCCTTATTATCCACCCATGAGCTCACTTCAAGCCTACAGCAATAAAGACTTCACAAGAGCAACAGGAAATATGACTTACCTAAAACTTCGCTGTAAAATTGATCCCATTTCTTTTCATTAAATGTCTGAAACCAGAAGTCAAAGTATAGAGTGCAGATCATGTTTTGTACTCTCTCCATGAAAGTCATCTGACCACTTAATCCCGACATAACTATAGGTACATAAGAAGGAGGAAATAGAAGGCCCCCACTGTACTTTTCATATGTGTATCCAGGGTTGAAGCGGAGACTGTACACAAATGGAATTTTCAGTAGCTCAGCCAGGAGCTCACTACAGGGAAAGTGGGCGTCAGCAAGAATGACATCAAACTTTGATTCTTGTAATTTTGTCAAAAGTTTCTTGTTCAAAACTGCATCTTTACAGTTCCTTTCACAAAGATTAGAAAAGTCCCTGTAGATGTCCTGTAGCAGGGGAAAGTATTTCCAGTATGTATCCTTTGGAACATTATAGATCCAGTTATCAATCCATTGCCTGAAAAATTTCTTATTTTCTTCAGGAGTTACTGATGAAGGAAAAGTTTCAAATTTTATACCAGATGGATTATTGTGATCAATAAAAACAGAAGACAAAGGTCTGAGAACTGTCACTTCATGTCCCCTTTGTACAAGTTCAACCAGTATTACCTTTGTATTCATCCAGTGGCTGAATTCCATTTGCCACACCAGCACCTTCCCACAGCTCCCAGTGCTAGTGTAGCAACACAGGAGCAGGAACAGAAAGAAAAGAGCTCTCATCATTCTAGACATTCCACTGAAGCCAACTGCTTATTTTTACAGTGCGCTGTACGCTGTCTTTACTCGAGACACTTGTTAATATTCTTGTAAAGGAAACCACAAAGTTAAACTGTAACTTAGATTGGCCAATAAATACATAAAATGACAAATGAAAGTGAATAGCCTGAGACAGCAAATGAAACACTCAAGGTTAGAGTATGTTATATTTCTAAGAGCTCTTTGAACACCTCTTTTTTTCATTAACAACTTTGACTTGTGTAATGTGGATTACTTGCCTGTGTTAGTTACCTATATTATACAGTCAATTAATGTCCTGGCCAAGAGAAGGACAAATTGAGAAATGAATTGTTTCTTTAGAGATTTTGAAATGCTTTATTCAGGCTTTGAGATAAAGTATATAAATAAAAGAATTTTTTTAGGTATTGTATTTCAGTGAATAGTTTCAATAAATGTATTTTGCAAAAAATTCATAAAATGCCACTTACCTACATACAGTCACTCCAATTAGATACTTTAATGTTTTGTTATACATGCCCAGAAATGTGCAACCATCATGACAGTCTTTAAATCACTTTATTTCTCCAATAACAAATTGAAGCCCTGAAACCAGGTATCTACTATATTTACCTGTTTTTCCATACTATATAATTTATGGCCAAAATAGCATGAAAATCAGTTATATTTTTATGCAGAGCATGAGGCAGAATGCTGTGGGAATGTGACATAGGTATTGAGGAACACTAAGATGAATTTGGCTAAAAAAAAAGAGGTAAGTAAACACACATCTGCCCTTTCACATATCTGAAAACAATTCATTGTTTGAGAGAAGAAGTAGTGTTCTCAGAAACTTCCTACTCTTGCTGTGGGTTTCACATGCTGCATTGTTGGAGGAGCCTGTATATCTTCCAGATCTTGAGCCTAATCTGCATAGATGGAAGATAAACATTGTTTCATTGCCCCAAAGAATGTGGGGAGGAAAATCCTGCAATCCCTTGAACTGATGATCAGCATCAATTTCAGGCTATGTTCAGATGGGGCTTGGATTGCTGGTGTTTTTGAAAGGAGCAGCTAATATTTAATCTTTTTGTCTTTTGTTCTTATATTGTTCCCCTTCTAATTCCTTATAACATTTTTGTTGATATTGGTTTGTTTCATTTTTTTAACCAATTTTGTAGGTCTATGTCTGGTTAAAGTAAATACCATGCAGTACAGCAACCATTGTTGAATTTCATTACTTTGCTTACTGAATTTTTTTATCATTTCTAATGCTCTTTTATCATTTGTAGTTTTAAAAAATAAAAAAGGAAAATCAAATCTTTTCATTCCAGGTTATTTTATAGAAACAAATATGTAAACAAATATGTAATATATATATAGGATATATATATATATATATTTTTTTTTTTTTAACTTTGTATCTTTTTCATTCACTTGTTGGATTTAGTAATGGTGCAGTGTGGTAATTTTTCTATGTGCTTACTCTTTAATTTGTGCTCTTGCATTTTTTCTTAGTGGTTAGAATACTGTTGTTTTTAGGGCATATGCCTTTGAACATTTATTATAGGGACAGCCTGGTAATTTAAATACTGCTTCCATGTACTTTGTTGGATGCTGGAGTATAGGGTCTCTAAGCGTCAAATTGCTGACCATGAATAAAGAGACTTCTCTTTGTGTTGAAAACTCATATTTAAAGTGCTTGGCAGTCAAGATAAGACCGCACCTGAGAAAACTAAGGACACAGCTGTTGACAATCCCAATTCCAGAGCAATGAAACTGCCAGACCAAACACTTCCCTTGAATGAAAATTTTACGCATTTGTTCCTCAAAGCCATGGTCGTCATCATGGATTCTTGTCTTACAAGTCCCTTCCTCATCCTGAACCCCAGAACCTGTGAAAACCCAATAAATACAGTGATCTGGAAGAATCCATGGCTTCATTTTCAGAGTCTTTACTCCCAGAGATTTCCGAGCTTCTTGGATTCTCCAAAAACCATGCTTCTTGTCTCTTTTTATTTTAGCCTTTATTGTACATTCATTATAGGAGGTGGAGGTAGGTCAAGACTCTAAATTTTGGAGAAAGCTATTATTGACCAGTAATATCTTAGGAACATTTTTGCTAGCTATGAAATTTCTGACTGATATATTATTTTTAGTTTCTTAAAAGGAACAAAAAAGTTGAAGAAAACAAATGAAAGTTTATATTGAAGTTGTATAAATATGAAATCCTTGTATGAGCTTTAATAATTTTCTATTTGAAATTCTATTGTCAATATAGTAGACATTCTTAAATACTGTATGTGACTGTATGTGGTATGCTGTGAGTAAAATACTGTATGCTATCAGTTCAAGGCCAAACTGGGCTACAAAATGAGCTTAAGGCAAGAATGAACTGCATAGTGCAATTTTGTCTCAAAAACACAAAAACAATTATATATATATATATATATATATATATGCATCACAGTGCTTAAAAACAGCTAAACGAAGGATGGAAAATATTAACTGAAGATAAGACTATCTCAATCTGTGAAGTTTAGAGCATCTGTCACTCTGAGTGAGAATCAAGGGGAAACAACACTAGCCTGAGGACCTCTGTATTTTTTTTTTTTTTTTTTCTGGTAGAGGACAAGAAAACAAAAATGTAGCTTCTTGTTGTTGCTGCTGCTGCTGCTGGTGTCATTGTCACTAGACATTGAACTGAGGACTTTACAATTGCCAGGCAGGCTCTTATGCCAATGAACTGTTTTCCGGGCCCCAAATATGAAATTTCAGAGTGGTAGCAATATATTTTATAGATCTTTCAATGGGACATGGAATATACAGCAAAATGCCATTTTACATGACATACTACCATCTAATCATCTAAATAAGTTTAAAGGAGGCCATGGAAACACATTGGAAAAGGCAAACATCTCTGGAAGTAACTTGCTCTCAATTCTACTGATTTCAGCCCTCCATATTCTGATCTAATCCCTAACCATGCACTCCAGGAGCATGGGACAGTTGTTCCAATGTCACCTGCTTGTCACACTCACATTTAATCACTTCTTTGGCCAGTTTCCTCCCACAAACATATGCCTTCTTTTTAGTCATTTGTATTATTTTCAAAATACATTATAGGCAAGGTCATTGACAAAATTTCAGATAAAACTATTTCTAATACAATTTTACTGTACCACACACTCGTAAATACATACATTTTGGAGAATTTTTCAGGGGATTATACTGAAGGGATCATAAATGCACCCAAAGTTTAAAACTAGTTCCTTCTAAAATTAATTTTATTGAGAAAGAAATAGCATGAGACAGTTTCAAAACAGGTTAACAGAAGTTATAATAATTAATATATTTCATATGTTTGTCTTCATATTAGTTATTCATAATACAAGGTGTAGACATATCTTTTCTAAACACTATTAGTACAAATCTTTCCTCAAACTAGTTCTGATAAAAGCATATAATTACTATGAAAGATGAGCCAAACTGAGAAACATACACAACTAAGTATGTATTCAAGAACTCCCTGCCATCTATTGTTAGTGTATGAGTGAATTCTGTGAAGAGATGCTTGGAGAACCTGTAGAAGTTGGCTTTTGCTTAAAACCAAAAGCAGATATAGCCCTTAATAGTAGATACCAGTATTTATCATTTCTGTTTGAATGAAGAGTGATAACATAATAAATAGCCCTTCACTATTTATAAGCAATAAGAAATAAAGTTACAACTTCCTTTGCAATACAATTTCTGAAACAAGCTTTATTTTCCAAATAATTTCAATAATTGATTAATCTGACTTATATTACTGTATTACTTATATTACTATATATTCATGAATTCAGTAACATGGTGATAGTAAAGATAATAAGTATAAACAAATCATCTTAGTTGAAATTTGGTAATAGTAAAACAATTATCTACATGTTTAAATAGTAATGCTTAATTTTATTAAGCAACAATTTCTTTTCTTTATATGCTAGACACAGCTAATACAGATATTATGAGTGTTTTCATTTTACATTCCAGTTTTTGTGTAACAGAAATATGTAAGGATTATTGTCGTCTGAAAACTATTTTCTCCTTTTTTAACAATGGGCAGAGAATTATTTCTTTACTTATTGGTATATTACACAACAATACTGGAGTTCATATTTGGTACTGCATATCCCTCTATGCACAGTTCATTTTAATCTACAGATCCCTACTTATTTTTACACCAGAATCAGACGCTCTTGTAAAAAATTAAGCCTTAATCAAAATCTAAAATTCACAATTCTAGCAAGATAAACAGCAATAATAATGAAAGAGAGCTACATAATAGAGGTAGTTCAAAGTATATTCTAAGGGTTAATATATTTATTTCACAGTAATCATAAAAGAAAGTTATAATTTTCAAACTTTCTACTTAATAAGGAACAAATAAAAACAGAAACACATATTATGTAAGTAAATGTTAGTGTCAGAAAATTTTGAAAATTATAATACACACTTTCATAATTTTGACCATTAATCCATTCATAAAATGCATTATGAATTCCAGGTTAACAGCAACTCATCACTCTACCATCTGTTTTTGTCTCAAAATGAAGATACTATATTGAACTTTATGCATTAGATAGATTAAAAATTAGCTACACCACTAATTATGCTGATGAATAGTTTCAAAATCTCACCTTGTCTGACATGGAATAGCTGGTAAATGTTTAACTCATTATCTAAACTTGTTAATAATTATTTTCCAGTCACTTTCAGCCATGGTCACTATGACTCAGCATTCTATTTTTTTGACAATATGATTTAATTCTTCACATATACAAAATGCACGATAGTATAATAGCTACACAGGAGAATATTAGATTTGCTTTCAAAAATTTGGAAGGATCATGAATCTCAAATAATGATCCATTACACTCATAAGTAGTAATTTCACAATTTTAACTCACATATTTGTGTTAGGAAAATTCACACTCACTAGAATGAAGGACCAAACAGTTAGAACTGTCATGCTGTTTTGG